GTTAAGAGGAACGACATGGAATCCTTTCAGCAGGTAGGTACTCTTGTAATCAATTATGTCCCTTAAGACTGAAAATTTTTAATTTAATTCTTATAACTGAAAAAATCTCGACGTTTCTTTAGTTCGATGTAGCTGTTTTATTGAAACTTTTGATGGTCGGTTATTAATCGCCAAAGAAATCTCACATATTCTTACGATTAAGCGGAAATGCTTTTTCAAATCAAAAATCTTGAGAGGTGAAGAAATCGAATAATGTATATGATTCAAAATCTTTTCTAAATTGAGAACAGTTTTGATAAATTATATTTTCTGTATTTTTTGTATATATTTTATTCGTTTTTTTTTATAGAAATCATCTCACCCATTAATATTATCATTTTTTTATATCTAAGTAATACAGTCTTCCCCCTTTATAGTCACACCCGGGACTAAAATTAAAAAACGTGTGATTATAATAAAAAGTGACTATCTAGGGGGATTTTATATATTGTTACAAAAACGTTGGTTCTGAAAGTTGTGACTATAAAAACAGTGTGATTTTAAAGGGTTTATATAGCATTAATAGGTATTGGTTCTTACAAAATGTGTGCTTATAATGAGGGATTTATATGATGTGATTGTACAGAGGGTGACTATATAGGGGGACGACTGTATTTATATTTCAAATATCACAGTAAGTTATTTTATATATTATTTACCAAAAATGTCAAAATATAATTTATGAAATCAAATAGCAATAGACTATAACTTCAAACTTTTTACCATCAAAGAATTCAAATATCATCTTTTGAATCTTAAATGTGTAATTTTATGTAACTATCTCAAAGTACTTTCTCAACAGATCTATCATTGCTTGAGTTCTTATACAAAAAGATTTATACTGCAAAATGTAGTTTTTGTTTCATTAAATAAATTAAATATTAAAAAAATTACCTGTCATATTTAAGTTCATTATTTTTTTGATAATAATTTTATCATATAATTTTTTTATATTTAATTTTATATCTTAAACATTAAAAAATATATATTAAGAAATATTTTTTTTAAAATAATTCATTAAAACTGAATAAATAAATACAAAACTTATTAATTAGAGAGTTCTAAAAATATACAACCTTGAATACAAATCTTTTTTTTTAAAAAGATTAGGACAATTAGTAAAGTTCTACGTAAAAATTTAAATAAATGGAATTATCATATGCCTTTGAAATTAAGCATCTTTTTGCTATATAAATGTTATTATAACTAGGAAATGGAAACCGTTGTTAAATCCGAACATTTTGTGTAGAAATATATAGTCTTACACTAACACTCTAGACTAATAATAATATTTTTTTATTATTTATTTTATATAATTCATTTATACTAATTTTTTTATAATGATAGCAAATTTTTATTTTTTTTTAGTAGATATGAAATAATATTATTCATTTTATTTTCATATTTAATTTTTTTTTGATGATTTAAAAATATATTGATTCAATAATCAAGAAAATTATTTTGCAAATTTGTAAATATAGCTTTTGAGTAAGTAATTTTTTTATTAATGATTTATTTTCTATTTAAAAATTTTAATCTAATCTACAAAGAAAATTCATATTATACTTTTTCTTTAGAAAGTTCTTGTGGTTCTTCAGACTCCATTTTTCTTTTTTTGCTTTTTTTTTCAGATTTTTTAACTTTTTTTTTTGGTTTTAACTTTTTAAAATTTAACAGTTTTTAAAATAAATTAATAAATTTTTTTGTTAAAAAAGAAATATTTTAAATACTTTATTATAAGCTTATATTAAATTCATCTAGAAAAATTCTTCAATAGGAAAACTATTAATCAATACCTTTTATTGCAAGCTACACATTTTTTGTTGCATATCATGAAATAAGTTTTTAATGTCAGAAAGATAATATTCATTTATCCTAGAGATATGATTGCAATAAAAAATGTATAGCTTACCAGATTTAATATTAAAAAAAAATTAAAAAGCTGTTTAAAAGAACTGTTTTAAAGAGTTGTTTTAAATGTAAAAGATGATATTGAAGAGTTATTTTTAAAAATATAAAAAAAGATAAAGAGCTATTTTGAATATAAAAGATGACTTTGAAGAGTTATTTTTAAAAGTGTGAAAATATTCAATTCCCTGTCTTATGCTCAAGTCATATAATATTACTATATGATCATGATATACAAAATGTATATAAAATGGATGGTAAAAGAACAAATATAGATGCAAATTATTTTATACATAATCGATCAATAGAATTTGTAATCCTATAGAATAAATTAGAACTAATTAGAAATTTTAATATAAAATTAGAAAAATGGGAAAAAATTTATACAGATATTTGCTTTATTTAGAATTTTATGCAATTATAAAAGCCAATCAGCAATTGACTCAATTATTGAATAGGCAGATACTAGGATATTTTTTCGTTATATATAGTTCTACACTTCATTTTATACTAATTAATAAAAATTTTAATTATACTAAAAATTAATAAATATATAAAAATACAAGTTATTTATTATTTTATTTATTAATTTAAAATATATTATTATATATTAAATTTAAAAATTACTATATTTTATCAATAGTAATCAATATCAGTTTCATATAATTTTTATATAAATAATTTATTATTCTATATTATACTTTCTATATTTTATTTTTACTATATTCTAAGAACTTAAAATTTTTTGAATGTAAAATCATATTTATTACATATTATTTATCATATTTTTAATTTTAGCTAAAATTTATAATTATGACTAAAATATTTTTTTAGAAAATTAAGTAAGTTTATATAATTTTAAAAAGTCAATTTTAATTTTAAAAAAAATTAAATAAGATTATATAAATATTTAAATAGAAAATTTGTGATACTGATACTAATTACTAATAATGGTAAATAGTAAATCTTATTAAATTTTTATATAAATTATATAATATCATAATAAATATTAAAAAATAAGATTATTTATTAGTCTAAAATGAAGTAAAAATTTATATATAGGGGTTAAGCTATTAAAACTACCTTACAGGACCCTACCAACTAAAATTGAGATTTTTGATTCATATTATTATATGATATATG